CATTTTTGTGCAGAATACAATAAAGTCAGCAAAGCAAGAGCCACATCAACCTCTTTCCCACAACCCATCATCCCTCCCAGAATAAGAGCTTTCATAGACTTGACATGTATCCTCCTGCACATGTAGTGATCTTGTTTTGTAGTAATTTTCTCTGCATTATGCCTTTATCCAATACACATTGTTTTGACATATTTTCTTGTTCTTCCCATCTCAGTGTATGTGGATCTACTTCAGTGTTGTTATCATGATCATCATCATCACCATTATGTGGCACTGGGGATTGAACCCAGGACCTCAAATATAAATAAGCATGAGCTCTACCACTGAGTGCATCCCCAGCCCTACATCACTATTATGAAACATCATCTGATAATTCTAAATTGGACACATTGTAACATAGAAGGATATATGCTCATGGACGGGCTTTAGGTCATACCCAGTCTGGGCTGTTAGACAGTGTTATTGACTGTGACTTTTGTGCATGTGTGTGTGTGTGTGTGTGCTGCTCCCAGGTAGATTTGTGGAGAGAGGAAGGAAATAGAGCTTTGAAATTTTAATATATAATGTATTATTCAATGTCTCTCCAAAGTGATGTATCTGTTCCTTTCAGGGATATAAGCACAATGTTGGTTTCCATCTACCATGATCAACACTGCATATTTGTAGCTTTTGAATCTTGATTACTTATGAGATTGAACTTAAGCTCTTTGAGCATGGACAATCTAGTATCCATAATCCCAAAATCCACAATTGGAAAGTGCCAAAATGTAAAATACTTCAGAGCATGTACATTTTGGGATATTCAACCTGTATATGTTTTCTGTATGTTGTTTATTTACATATTCTGTGCACATTTTTCTCTTGATCTGTATTCCCCTTTCTTATTGATTTATAAGAGTTTTTATATGTGTGAAAGTTCACATCTTTTCTATGATTTTTTTTCTCATTTTTGAAACCTGTTTTAAACTACATTAATTGTTTTAAAAGGAAGTGATATAAAATGAACATAAACAAGCATAGGTTCAAATATTGATAACAACTATATATCACAGTATGATTTTTTATAATCTGTTTTACTTATTTAATTAGTCTTAGCTACTTTATAGGTATCATCACCCTCTTTAAGCCTTTTATATGAACAGAAATTCCAACACACTCACATGATTGGCTGATTTAGTTTTCTTTCATTTTTTGGGTGGATATTTTAAGAAAACTAATGATATTTAAAAATTTATACTAGTATACAAAATAAGGATATTAGAAATATTTGTCATTCATTATTTTAAACTTCCAAAAATTGAATACCAACTATGATGTAAAATTACATATTTTTTGAGTTTGATTATTCATTGTTTTTATAATAGTAACTTGAATAGCAGGTAGTTATTTCCTAGGGTGTTTAAAAGTTATAAAACTCACCCACAAGTGTGGCAAGTCATCAATATTGAGTGTCCAGTTTGCTTTCAGACTATTTTCTTAGATTGAAAGATTTAAAATTTTTCAGAAACAGAACAGTGAAATTGGTAAAGCAAGAACTCTGTGAGAATGAAATGGAATGATACAGGAAGTTCTCCTTTTAAGTGCCCACAATATGTTGAGAATTCAGTAACATTAGATAAACATATATAATGAAAGTAACTCAGCTGGGCCTCAAAGTAGCTCTGGGAGCTTTATACAGCCAGTGCTGTCTCATTAACAGGCAAACGAAGAGGCAGGGACACTAATTAACCTTTTTAAGGCCTCCCAGCTAATAAATTAAAGAACTTGTGTTCCTAACACCTGTGTCTGTGCAATACTGAAGGAGAAATGTGAAATCTTGCCTTATAAATAAATACAAATCAAATATGGAGCCATAAACTGTTCAAAAGGAAGATTAGGAAATACTTTCATAGTGCATTGCCAACGTAATGGGTTGTAAGCACACTTATATTCCACAAATTTTCTATTTTAACATGGTAGAAGTATGTGTTCATCAATGTCATTATCATTTCATAGGATATGTTAGTAAAACACTTTGAACTTCTTTTTCCTTTCTTTTTTTGTGATGCTGAGGATACAACCAAGGGCTTTTCCCATGCTGGGCAAATGCTTTACCACTGAGCCGAATCATAGCCCTGCTCGTTTTTTTGAGAATTGCTTACTACCTCAAACTGAGATGTTCAGCAGCACTGGCAATCTCTAGACACATGTAATTAATAAAAATAAAATAAAAGAGAATATTCAGTTCTGCAGCTGTACTGACCTGATCTCAGGTGCTCTGTAGTCATCTGGGACACTATTTTTGATGGTGCTCATTTTTCTGTTATCATAGGAAGTTGTGGTAGCAGGGTGGTACAGAATGGCTCATTTTCCTATGTTCTACTTTCTGTGTTCAGTGTCCCTTGATCCAGAGTGCGGAGGAGTGGTAGCTCTTGCTGGGTTAACTTTCTCTCCAGTTATTGCAGCTCAGCTTCCTCCCAGTTACTTCTTGAGGCTCAGCAACTCCCATAAAGATCCAGCCATTCATGAAATTTATTTGATACTCGGGACATTAAAGATGGCCCAAAACTGAGAAGGTGGATTTTAGGTTCATTCTATGTATTAATTTGTAAATTACCTCTCTAAATCAGCACATTATTGAGTTTCTGCTTTGGTAGATTAAAGAAGTACAGTTGTTAATTACTTAGGAACCATGCAATTATGTTGCTCTGCCTTAGTCTTTTAAAGATTCCTGCCAGAAATTCTACCAAGCAGAGATGGAAGAGCTTGACTTTCTGAATGCTACAGAGGAGTCCAGAAAACACATAAACACCTGGGTCGCTCAAAAGACAGAAGGTAAAAACATAGTTTTTATTTGTTGTTTCTGGTGATGGTGGGGTTGTAGTCGCTTTGTTATTTCCTTTGTTTGCAGTGCTGGGGGTCCAACCCAGGGCCTTGGGCATGATGAGCAGATGCTCTACTGCTGAGCTACAGTCCCAGCCTGTTGTTCTGTTTTTAATAGTGTTTACATCAGTCTTATTGTCAGTTCCTTCACAGCATTGTCAAATACATACAGGAATGATGTGTTTGTTCTCAAATAATTGCAGGCTTTAAAAATCTGCTTCTGAAATACTGTCAGTGGATGACATTTTCTCTAGGTCTTCCCTGCTCTTTTTAGTGTATCCATGATGTTTCCCCCTAGTCAGCACCCCTCTTGCAGAACAATCCACACTGTAATGTCTTTGTTGTTGTTTGTTCTTTCTTTTCACCAATTGCATAAAGAAAAATTCACCTGACAGGTCCCAGCTGTGTCCTCTCCAGTGTGAGCTCATGCTCCCCAGTTTTCATGCATTGTTGCAAGTTGCTTAGTTCTATCCTCATGGACCTGTGGTTTTTAATGTAAACAGTGTGCTTTTTTTTTTTTTTCAATTTTGGTACCAGGGATTCAAATCAGAGGGACTTAAATACCAAGCCACATCCTTAAATAATGTAATGGGATATTTGTCCTAAATAAATATTTTATTTAGAGACAAGATCTTGTGAAGATGCTTAGGGCCTCAGTTGCTAAGGCTGGCTTAGAATTTACAATCCTCCTGCCTCAGTCTCCCAAGCCTCTGTGATTACAGGCATGTACCACCATGTCTGGCTAAACCGTGCTTTACATTTATAAAGAGCATCTTTTTAAAATCTTAAATATTTTTAGCTGATATAACAAAATCATGTATATTGTACAAAAATAATATTGTTCGATATGCTGGACTAGAAACAATAACAAAACTATACATGATGCTCCAATGCATATATATTGTGTGTAATGTTTAAATCAGCGTGAACATATCAGCACCTCAAACATTTAAGTTTAAATTTATAATCACTCCTTGTAACAGTATTTTAAGTTCTTTAGTTTGTAGGCACCAATCATTTCTTTCTATCTCTTGTGGTATGAATTCACTTACTAATATCTACTTTTTCCTTTTACATTTTATTCAAATGATGGTATTTTTCTTCCTAGAACATGTATTTCAATGCCAGGGATATTGCTTTGTTTTGATGACAAATATCTATTTATCTTATTTGGGGCATATGTGATCCTTTATCTCTGTGCTTGACCATTTGAGGAGGTGGGTCCTTCTCCATATCATCACTGAAACAACCATCAGCAAACTCTTAGCTAACTGGTTCTTTAATTTTTCCTTTCAGATAAAATTACAGAGTTGCTGTCTCCAGGTTCATTGGATAAAATTACCAAACTGGTTCTCGTGAATGCCATCTACTTCAAAGGAAACTGGGGTACACAGTTTGACAAAGAGCTCACCCAGGAGAGACCATTTAAAGTCAGCAAGGTGAATGTTGCATAGTAACAAAGGGGATTCCCAGACACAGGGCCTGTGTTTTTGGTTTCTAGATCATGAAGGCCACCACACGGAGCCTGTGTCTTGCATGGCGTAGGACAGCCCTGCAGCAAGGAATCCCCATGCCTTGGAGCCTTTGTCTCATGAGCTTCCTCCTTTTGTATGTCACCAAGGGTTCTGTTCGGAGCCCCCCCCCCCCTTACTATCACCTGCCCTACTTTCTCTGCTGTGTTAATCTACAAGGCAAATCTGATGGTGTAGCTCTCAGGCTAACTTTAGGTCTTTCTTGGTTTCTCATAACTTTTGAGATAAAGTTCAAACTCCAAATTTGGTGTCTGAGGGTCCTCGTGGACCTGGATCCTCCCCATTTTCTTCAGTACCTTCACACTCCTTTCTTAACTGCTATGTCCCCACTGGAAGCCCCACCAGGCATCTGCCCCTTTATCTAAGCTGTCACTGCGCCCCCTGCTGGTCTCTAGTAGACATAGCAGTGGTTGAAGGACTTTTTACTTTCCTTGAAAAACCATCCCAGGGCAGATGGCTGTCATATAAGTGCTTGACCTGTAGGCAGTTGGAAGTTATAGAGTAGTTATGGTAGCCGGTGCTCAGAAAATACTGAACCAATCACTGATCTTCAGTCTTCTTTTGTTTGTAAGGATAACACCAGTACATATTTTTGTTTAAAAACAAGCAAAGAGATGCATACACAGAATTAGACTCTTGAGTTTAACCACCTTCAGCTTGGAAGGTGTTTGCTGATGGCCTGGTGTCTTTCTCTCACAGAATCCATTTTTTAAAAAGACTTTTTAATTATAGAGATTTTTTTTTACATGCTGCAAAGCAGACAGGGTGGACTAATGTGTTCTTGATCACTGACCATAAGTTAGATCTTCCTCGTCCACTTGGATCTGAACCTTCAGTTTTTCAACACATACATTTTGTGTTGAGATTTATTCTGAAATGAACTGTCCTTTCCCTAAATATGATTTTTTTCTCCTTGAAATTCATCTTTAACAAGATGTATGTTAGGGCTTCATTCAACTGTAAGCAACGGAAACCCCAGATCTATGCAGTTTAGCTCACAGCTCATCTCACCACCCAGGAGGCTCAGAGGAGAGGAGAACCCAGGGCTGATGTGGCACTGGGGTGAGGCTCTTGGGAACCAGCTCTCCCTGCTCTGCCCCCTCAGCCTGTGGCCTCTTCCTTGTGCTCACAGGAGGGCTCAGATATGGCCTCCACTGTCCAGGCAGGATGGAGCAGGAAGGACAGAAGATGGAGGGCAAAAGGCCTTCTTTGGAGGTTCTGCCATTGTATTCAGAGGGAAACCAGAACTGCTCTCATGCAGCTTCTGCTGGATACAGAGCAGTGAAGCAGTTTACCTTGCTTTCTGCAGTAGAGGGAGAGGGTAGAGCTGCAGCAGGAGTTGACTGTACCAGCCCACAGAGTGTGTGGCAGGGGTGTCTCCAGGGGCATGGATTTTGAGTTGATAAGGATTTTCATTTGGATTCCTCATTTCTAAAGGAAATTAAGCTTACTAACATAATTATATATTTAGTGAGTCATTAAATTACCAAGATTGGATTCTTTTCTATTATAAGATTGGAGACCTTTGGTCCTGGAGGGGAATGCAGAGAAACTGAATACGGTGGGGTCAGCACCCTGAGGCCTGTGTGTCAAAGCCAGCCCATATCAAGTTTATCAGATGAAGTTTTGTTGGTGCACACACATACTTACTTGTTTATATGTGTCACAACAGTAGAATCCAGTAGGTGTGATAGGAATTGTCTGTAGCACAAATGCCAAAATATTTACTGTCCTCCCATTTATGGAAAAAGTGTGCCAAGTTCTGGCCAAGGACATGTTTGAGGAGCCAAGGGCAGGAGACTGTTGTGGCTGAGATCTAGTTCAGGCAAGTTCGACAAGGCAGAGACAGAAAGTGACAGCAGACATGTCTTTGGTTTACTCCATTTGATCCGGAATGGTGTGCTGTGCCAGAGAACTAGGGAGCTGTGCCTGTTGCATGGAATTAAAAAAAAAATTCAGAGTATCTGCTGGTATCAAACTATGGAGTACTCATGAATTAAGCAGTATTGTAGGGTAGGATGTGGTCACTGTCCTCTGTCTTTTTCTTATGGTCTGAGGATGGCCCTTTGCTATTTCTGCTCATCAGTTTTTTATTCATTTATTCAGCTGATGTTAATTGAGTGCCTACTATGTGCCAGGTATCGACTAGCTGAACATGTCTGCCCCATGAAACTTACATTTTCTTGAGGGAGAGGCCAGAATCTTAAATAAGACATTAGTAGTTATTTGGCAGTGGTAAATGCTGCAGAGACACAAAGGAAGCAGACAGGAAACTGTGGTTGGGTGTATAGTAGCAGGTCAGGTCTATCAAGGAAGCATTCACTGAGAGGGTGATACTTGAGTAAAGACCAGGAAGAGGAAAGGCTGTACCCTCTAGGTTTTAGGGATGAGTGTACAGGGGAGGGATAGAATGACCCTGATTTTCCATAGAGACCCCTGTGAATGTAGGAACCATCAGAGGGAGAGTAGCAGGAGTTGAGGAGAGACAAGGAATGGGAGATGAGATGTGTGATTATAGGATGTACTGAGCACTTCAGGTCTTGCTCCTAGGAGAGGGGGTGTCATGGAAGGGTGTCCAGTCAGAGGGGTGTGATCTGACTTATGTTCACTGGGATCCCTCTGAGGTCATCTCTGTATTCCAGGGATAGGGTGATGGCAGTGGAAGAAAGAACAACAGATGAGGTTTTGGTTGTATTTCAAAGGTAGAGCCACCATAATTTGCTAAGGAGTGAGATGCAGAGTATAAGAGAAAGACATGAGCAAGGACACACCGTGGCTTTTGAAAACTGGATGCATGGTGTCACTGCCAACTGTGATGGGCAGAGGTGTAGGTGGAGCAGGAAGGGGATATAAGGAGCCCACAGTCATGTGTGACATTAGGACTTTCTTTTGGTCTAAGTGTGGGTGTCAAGCAGCCAGTATAACACAGGAGCCTGGAGTCCAGGGGAGAGGTCCTGGGTAGAACTGTAAATTTGTGGATTAAGTTCAAAGTCATTAGACTAGGTGAAGTCACCAAGAAAGGTGTTGGGTGTGATTCTGGGCACCTTGGTGTTGGGAGGTTTGTCAGCATTCTCTTAGTGTGCCAAATAATGAGATAATCCACTTAAAAAGGGACAGATTCATCTGAGCTCAAAATTTAAGTTTCCCATCCATGATGAGGCAGACCCTTTGCTCTTAGGCATGGGGGTGGTGGATGGAAGAGTTGGGAGCAGTTGATCAAGCAAAACTGGTCACCTGAGTCAGGAAATGAAGGAGACAGGAAGGGCTTGGGTCTCACAGTCCCCTCCAAGGACTTGCCCCAATGACCTAACTTCTA